ACTCACGTGTCTTACATTCTATTCCTACTTGCTCTTCACCTACTGCCCTACAAGTCTGTGCTTATGGCACCTACGTTACGTAGTGATAGAAGGTCGGAGAGCCCGGTGACGCGCCGTGCGTCATCTCACAACCGACATTGGTATAATAGACACAGGATAATATCCGAATAATAATGTTAGATTTTGAAACTGCGGAATGCAGCACAAAACAAGTCATCGCACTCTTTGGTACTACATGTAGTAGTAATTTCTACTAGGAAAATAGGTTTTTTTGGGACTTGGTGCTTCAGGACCAAAACAGGTTTTGGTGTACGATAGAACTATTGCACTCTACGCCAGAGCTATTGCACTCGTCACTCATGACTCCTTGTCGGCAACAATTTGTTGCTGCTAGGAATAAAAATTATAGGCAAAATGTAGTATTTTACTTTTCGACTTCTGCCTCATTGCATGAAGCCACTTGCCACTTTACACCACCATACGTTGTGGCTCCATTTATCGTCGCAGTGTTCCAGTTTGCATGGAGACACTTTATCAGGGTAACCATTTTTCAGCCGCGTGCGGAGCCACTTAGCCATTTCAAGCCCCCCCCCCCCAACAAAAAAAGTTTGTATCTGCAAATACGAATGTATTTTATATAGTTAGTTAGAAAGAAAACATTGCCACCCATGGATGTTGATGCGGTCCAGCTGGGGGTGCATAATAAAGTGTAGCTGGGGGGGGGGTCTTGTATTGATGCATGTAGAGCTAGAAATAAAATCTAAAAAGAAATGAGAAATGGACCAATCATCGTCGTTCTGTTTCTCGTTAACACAAGACAAGAATTAGAAGCCCTCCACGGTCGCATTAGTGCTCTATCCTCAGCTTAGAGGGAAAAAAAACTACATGTATGGAGCTCGAGATTAGGGAAATAGGGCTAAATGCTGTATGTCTTTTCCATTCCGCTGACCCCCTTCACCGAAGGGAAGGCTTCAGCGCATGTATTAATACATCTTGATACAGCTGAACCTTTCTCCACGTTGCGACCATTGACTCACAGGTAGCTCGACTTGATCGTAATTCTTCCTGTGACGATGCTACTCACCACTGAAGTATAGCAGGTGGTGGTGTGGCGGAGTGGAGGGGGTAGTTTTATAAACAATCATGTCGCCCAATCTTCAAATATGGGTACCTCGACCTCGAGCGCCTCTCCCTCAACTGGGCACCTCGAGCGGCCGTCGTTCCCAGTAGATAACAGTCTCAAAAAGTGTGTCTTAGCGTATGGTGCTTGATTTCGCATAAAATCTAATTTTATGCGAATTCCATGCCTTATTCCGGAAAACATGATTCTTATGCTTGTTTTTTTGCATTTACCCTGCTGTTTTTAGTATTTTCGCATCTCATGCTACTTCTGGTATAAGTACGATCCTATGAAATACAGTTGGCTACATTTGTGACCCAAAAATTAAATTATGGAGGCTTCTACCCCAAGATTCAACGACACCTGGGTCTGCCTATACCTTAGTTATGAATTACTCTTTGTTATCAATACCGGTACACTATTGTACTGGCGAGATGAAATGCACCACCATTTTTTTGTTTTGCTCATAAATACAAAAGTAATTATCGGATTAATGCCGGCAGACCCGCAATGGAAACAGGGTAGCACAGAGATCACAGACAAACACACGTTGTTTGACTTTCTTGTCTTTTATTAAAATGGTGGAAGCTCAAACGTCTGCGGGAAATTGATGCTGATCATGCATGCACAGAACATTTCTTGCGATATTTAATAAACAAAGAAGCCTAAAGTGACAAGCTTTACGCCAGAATGCAGCTTGGAATGCAACGCATCTGCAGAAGTTGGTTTTAGCTACAGGAGCAGCGTAGGGATTGCTGCATGCAGTGTTAAACGCATCGCCGACAGCCCCACTTCCTAGGATCAAATGTGCATAAAAATGAGTAAAAAGGGCATTGTTGATTGTAATACTAAAGTTTGTAAGGACCAAAACATCTGATGCCGTATGTCAAGAACATAGCCTCGATTTTTTGGGCGGAACGAAAGACACGCACTTTTCGATTAAGTGTAGCATGTGAATTTGAGCAGATATTCAAGGATGATTATGACTACTTAAGAGAAGAAATCATTATCTTTCCAACAAAAAAAAGCTCATATAAATTGGGTAATTGGGTGAGAAGTTGTGAAGGGGCAATGTTTGGTGTTGCATTTCATCTCGCCAGTACAATATCAGGTACTCTACAAGTGCAAATACAGCAGCGAGACACTTCATCTTCCTCACTTTCCAACTTGCCAATGAGGTTGGAGGTCTCGTCCTCCCACTGTCGGTTGAGGCGGTCGAACACTTGGCTGGCTGTACTGGGCATCTTGGTAATTGACAAGTGAATCTGAGCTTCCTCTCTGTGCTTTGACTTTTTTCCAAATTAAATGGCCAGGATTTCGCGAAAACCAGATATATTATAGATAATACGATGTCGCACTAGCTTCAGATACATATTTTTGCCAATGATACCACGCTGTTATGTATACTTGAATATTACAGCTGCAGCCTAGTTATATTAAAAGTGATTGAGCTATATGCGAAAATATCGCAGCTTAGAATTATTAAGGCGTTTTAAATTTGAAACTGTATTGTTTGCGCCAGATAGCGTTGTATCGTGAGCAAATACTGCTATATAAGGTACATGCACATAACTGACAAAAAATTCACTTTTTTAGCCTGTGGCCTAGTATTCGTGTGTGAAAGTCAGAGCTCGCAAAAGCCAAAGTTCGGATTACCCAGCCCATCTATCTGCGATACGGGTGAGCTGGGTCATTTCGTCCGCTACGCATTTCGAACGGCATCTTGTGGCGATTTACTCTGCTTGAAGTGGCCCGATGAGAAGTATCCACCGGAGGCTTCCCGAGCCCAGGCTTCTTTGAATGGACATTGTCGTGCTTATATTGGAACACACGTCCGTAAGAACGAGCACCATGCACTGGTGGAATGGCTATTACGCCATTCCAATATTATGCTGGCTATTGAGAATGGAGCACGTGTGGACTCAGCTGGAATAAACTCCAACAACCCGAAGCATAACACGCCAAATTTTAGGTTCTCACAATTTTTTTTCATCTGGTACTTCTATGACGGTTTCATCTTCACTTGAAAACCAGAGAATCAGTTTGACAAGTACAGGTTTTCAGGTCGTTCTGGAGCTCGGCTCTTCGTTGAAAGATCGCGAACGAACATGTTCGGACGTTTCAAACATATCATCACGGTCTCAAATGAACCATTTTAACCTCAATAACCGGGTTCTCGAGCTCGAGGTCTTACCAGTTCGCGATAGTTCGGGGGAATCGTGGACCAATTTTTTTCGCAAGACCTCTGGTACTGAACACGCTTCGTATAGTACCACGCACCGGTGAGTCGAAAGGCTGAGGTTACACACAAAGTAATCTGCATTCGCTGTGGCACTGGTGAGTAAGAAAGTTGCATGATGCAAGAAGAACAATTTTAAATGATACTTGCGACTCTTATCTGGATAGTTGGGAAGCATGTATCCAGATTGAAAAGATTTATCCTTTTCTACTTGCAGTGTTCGATAGTAGAAGCATATCGTCTAAACGCTAGCGTCCTATGGATGAAGCGGAACTTCCGCACTGACGTCGGTACTTTTATTTTAGTTTTTTCAGAGTAAGTTCAAATAGAATTCCTCATGATTTGACAAGAAAGAAATCTTTGTCGGGGTCAGTGAGCGGTGAAGTTTTTGTCCATGCGTCTTAAGTTTCCCATTATCGCCCACGGATACACAATTCTTACAAACGACAAGTTCTTCCCCGCCGAAACGAGCGCGGTGTCGTCTCGCCGTCTTGACGCCGCGAGACTGACTGACGTACGAGGCGATTCCCGCTCAAACGTGGCTAGGACGCCTTCACTTCCTTGAGCCTCGACAAAGACGACACAACGGCAAAGCCAAAGGCAGTGCCCACCGACGTGATACCGTAGACCTCTTTGTCCGCAACGCGAGTCTCACCGGATAAGGCTCTCCGGATAAAGTGAGACCGATCGCCTGGGACCCCACCGAGTATCGTTCCGAATAGAAAGTCTCTTTGTCCACGTAAGAAACTTTAGCTGCAGAATAAAGTTTCTGCTTCTTTTTTTCTGGACTAAAGAAAACTGTAGTCGCCCTCCGAGCACTAGATTCAAGTAGTCTGCACCGTCGCAAAATGGATTCTCTTGCACGGCTTTCACTGAAAGCTGAAAGTTTCAGTCAGGAAAACCTGACACGGATAATTTGCTTGAATCGTTATCGCCGACGATCAGAATGCTTGCCGTTGTTGCTTCATCCGCACACAATCCTCTTTGGGAGTGGTACAGTATCCCAAATAGTGATACCCTCTAGCTAAGATGGTCTGAAGTCACACTCCAGATTGTACTTAGTGGTACAAAATCGACTGTTAAAATAGCAAGAGGCCATTAACTATCGAGAACTATTGTTTGGTCAGCAACGTCCGTATAGTTTTGCTCGCTTGAACACAATTCAGCGGACGACAAATGTTTTCCTTTGGCTGGTTCTCTTTGATGAACTTTAGCGACAGCACCACAGCAAGCTCATCAGTAATGGTGTCGCTTCCTGCAGTTCACAAAGATGGATGTGGGTATAGATTCTAAAACTCCACGCTCCATATAAGCGCTTGGCGCGCGCTCACACGGTAATCTAGGCGATAGTACCCTTGTAATGGTACAGCTTTGGATAGTGGTACAGTACTTGTTGACGGTATCACTACAAAGAGGATTGCCTGGAATTCCGAACAAAAAGCCTGAATCCGTACATTTCCTGGCTTTGCAACTGTAGAAACCGTGCTTCTACACTGGTCAGCAGAGCGACCAATCGCACGTCGACCTGGTGCAACTCTTGGCAAGAAACTGGAGGATCAAGTTGGATCGTCCGTCTGCCAGCTGCTGTGGCGCGCTCGACTTCTGCAAAAGCAGCATTTCCCATTTCCCATTTGGCCGCCACCAGTGAACGTCCTGTCGAAGGCAAAGCTTTCCCCATCGCAAGCGGCATCCTAAGACCCGCTAGAGCCTTTGTTCTCTCTTGCTCATTATGCTAGCGCCCACTTCCGACTACGGCTACGCCCCCTCCCCCGCCAACGCCATGGGCTACGAACAACAGCAACACATGCAAAGTGGCGAGCGCCCCAAGCTCTTCATGCAACCTCCAGTTGACTACAGTCACATGGTGCACCACGGAACACCTCAACACATGACGCCACAACACGCCATGACGCCGCAACACGCCATGACACCGCAGCACGCGATGGCGCAGAAGTACGAGAACGAACCGCTCATGATGAACGTGCAGGGCGTGCCACACTACTACCCGCCTCCCCAGATGGGTGGGCAGATGCTGCATGTGTCCTCGGACTACGAATACGCTAACGGCGCTGTAGTCACGCCCTCCAGCGCTCGTAGCGGCTCGAAACGCTCACGCGAAGACTTGAACCTCAAGGAGAAGAAGCGCATGTTTAAACTCAATGACCGTATCAACCAGCTCAAAGACATTCTGGACGAGGCGGGAGTGCAAACGAAGAAGAACAAACAGTCGATTCTAGACAACGCGTCGCACTACATCGAGATGTTGCGTAGCAATCTGCTGATCGCCAAGCAGAAGGCCGAGCGCGCCGAAAAGCAGGCTGAAGCTTTCCGCGCACAGGCGCAACAGTCTTCCTCGGGCGCTGATAAGGTCGTTCGCGGTGTGTTCCAGAAGACGACGACACCACGAGTGGTCCTGGACATGAACTTACAGACTGTGACGTTTAATAACGCCTTTGTCAAACACACTGGACAGTCGGAACCTTTGCTGAAGAAGCAAAAGACACTGCGACCGTACTTATGCGCCGACCAACAGAAGCTAGAGAGCATCATGCAAAAAGTGCGGGACACTAAACAGTCGATCAGTGCTCTGGTTAAGACGTCGACTGCGGGAGGCAACACCGTGTCCGTCAATTTGGTGGCCGCTGTGATCACAGACGACACTGGAAAGGCCACGAACATCGAGTTTAGTCTCATCCCCGTCGAGATGCCGCAGCGACAACATTACAACGACGAGGCCGAGACGTCAGCGGAGGAGTCGAGGACTGACGGAGAACCTAAGGAAGAGAATCTCCAGCTCTGAGTTGGAGCTTTAGGTCGTCAGGATGTGTACGATACAGAGACAGTTAGGCATGTTGCCGTCGAGTTTGAGTGCTCGTGAGTGCTGAGTGAGTGTAAGCATAGTTATGCCAGTAAGAGTAAGCTTTAATGCAAGGCGTCAAGGAACTCCACGTGGTGATTTTTGGTCGAATTCGATCGTCAGACGGAGAGTTTGTAAAGAGACGAGTACAGTACATGTAATCCAGGGTGTCTGAGTCCGGCTTCATGTCGTCAGGCCCATTCTGGACCGATTCCGCAGCTGGCACAGACCTAAATCTGAGAGGTTACATGTACTCCAGAATTTAGGAAAGCCACTTCACAGGAAGAGGGCACTTCGTGCTCAAACTTGAGCTCACCGTCGCCGCGGAAGCTGATCATCGCATTGAAAATTCTGCAGGCGATACCGAATAACCTATGTTATCACATACAGCAAAGGGTACAGATATTTTGGCAAGCCAAAGAAAATACTTTCCTACAAAAATCAAGAGTGCAGGACATCAGCCTCACATGATGCCATAAAACTTAGAATGCGATACCGGTATTCGGTACACTCTGTTTTTATTGCCGCATTTTATTACTATGTAGAGGAACCATTATTCGGAGCTGTACCCAATATACAGTACATTCTGACGTTTAGCGCAGGACTGGACCAACAAAGACACCGTTCGCCCACTCAGCGTATTTTGGATTGCGGGAGGTCTGTCTGGGAGAACATAATACTAGGCTAAACAATGCAATACTAAAATGCAGTAAATATAACAGCCAACGTCATGGTCAAATAAAGCCAGGAACACGACACGCCTCAACTGTCGTTGCTCAATACTTCACACTCCCACTTCGTGTTGCTGACTCCGCATCGTGCAGCAGTCAATCGGTCACCAGCTGAAACTACAGTTCGGCGGGCACCGGTAACACGCTCAGACGCTCGCGTAACCTGCAAAACTGCTGTGGGCCGAGCGGCTTCGTGAAAATGTCCGCAATATTGTCTTCACTTGGACAATACTTCACTTTAAACACACCTCGCTCAACAAAGTCACGAATCTTGTGAAGCTTCAAATCCAAGCTCTTGACCTTGTACCCACTACGTACTTCCTTAATCACTTGAATCGCAGCCTGATTGTCTAAAAAGAATAATATTCAATGTTCTTTGAAGTTTCAGCTCAACACAAAGATTATGAGTCCACATGATCATATTCGAACACTCACTTGCAGCAACGAATTCCGCACAACACGTATCGTCCGTCATAATCGGTTGTTTCTTGCTTTTAAATACAAATGCTAAATTATTCAGCAGTAGCACATATCCAGTGACAGAACGTCGGTCATCTTTTTCATTTTCCAAATCAGCATCCGCGTAGGCGGTTAGCTGCAATCCAGGTGCTTCCGATTTCTGCCACACGAGGCCATACTCGCGTGTACCTTGTAGATAGCGTAGGACGCGTTTAGCCACTAAAACGTGCTCCTTCGTGCAGCAATTCATAACCTTGCCGAGTGTCCGTACGGCATTCGCAATATCTGGTCGAGTACAGCAAACTAGATACTGTAAAGAGCCAACAATGCATTGATAATCCAAATCCGGATCAATGTTCACGCAGACTATTTCCTTATCCGGGTCACCCGGAGCTGGAAAATTCCCTTTGGCTTGCGGTGTAGACATTGCTTTGCAGTTAGCCATCTTGAAACCTTCTAGCAGCTGAGATACATAGCCACTTTGCATGATCGATAACAGCTTACCTGGTACATACTTAATCACCATCGAAAGTAAGTGGCTGACATCTCCAAGACCCTTAAGCTTAAACTTCTTACTGAGTTCATCAATCACTAGCTCCGAGCTCTCGTTTGTGGCTGCAATGACAATGTCATCAACATAAAGTGTCAGGAAGATCCGACTATCATTTACCCAACGATAGAAAATTCCTCCATCCATCTTCGACCTCTTAAACCCACACTCTCTCAGATACTTGTCAAGAGTCTTGTACCATATGCGTGGCGCTTGCTTAAGTCCATACAAACCTCGAAGCAACTTGCGCACACGTCCAGTACCATCATTGAAAAACTCTGGATGAATACATGTAAATCTCACAGTCGATAGGACCATTCAGAAACGCAGTCACAAAGGCCACGTGACGACAGAGAAGTCCATAATGTAACGCCAGTAGAAGTATAAATCTCACTGCTTCCGCACACACCACTAGTGCATACGTCTCCCAAAAGTTCAAACCAAACTTCAGTTGACAGCCTTTGATCGTAACTCTCGCTCGATAGCGTTCCACTTCACCTCTGGTATTCCGCTTACGCACAAACATCCATTTGCTTGTCAACACTTTGGCACGATCTGGCTCTTCAACCAACTCCCAGGTATAGTTTCTCAGCAGCTCACTATACTCGGTGTTTAGTGCCTCAACCCACTTCTCCGAGTCAGGAGCTTCCAGAGCTGCCTCCACTGAGGTAGGCTCCAAGCTAGCATTCACAGCTTGAATCACTAAGCTCTGTGGCAGATCAATCTCGTAATCACAGAGTCGTACATTTGGTTGGCGAATACGAGTTGATCGACGAATGGAGGCTTCCAACCCATGTTTCTCTTCATCGTCCTCATCGTCATCACTAGACAACGATATATCTCCTCCCACTGAGCCTGCACGGCTTCACACGAAGTCGCCTGATGATATAACATCAGCTTCTTCGTCTTCTTTGTTTGCACTAGCACTTTGCACATGAAAAGATTCTGGTAGTTCCTGCAGAGGTGTAGAGCGGGTTTTTGCACTCGCTCTCATGACCCTCAGGATCTCCACTCTTTTCATCTTCTTCACATTCAGCCTGCTGCTGTGGTGCACCCCAAGGTGACAGTTGAGCAGTTGCCAAAGGCACTCTCACCCGAGACGAACTTAACGATTCAAGTGCAGGGTCCCCCACACTAACCGGAGATAACTCCACCACAACACTAATATGTGCGTTAGCTAGGCGTTGACGTTTTTCAGGAGGTTCATGCAACGCTTCCTGTGTCACTTCATGTGTCACTGTTGCATCAACTGGTAGACGTACTTACGGAATAACGCCCGGAAGGACAAATTGGCCACGTCGATACATATTTGTCAATAAGTGCTCCACATACGAGCAATCGACTGTCCACTCTTCGTCAACCTCCACAGAACGTCGTTCTTAGACTTCACCAGTCCTCAAGCTCAGGACACGATCCCCCTCCGAATTCTCGGCAAATCTTAGAAAGAGTCCCAACTTTCCAAGGTTCCCCAACTTGTTCGTCCTTTACACCTTTGGAGTGAACACGTGCACAGCACAGCCCCACGTACGTAACTTCTCATCATCCGGTCGCTCACCGAACCGAAGAGTGTAAGGATGTCTCCTTCTAGTGCACTGCATGGGCTTACATTCATGACTTCAGCTGAAAATGTGAATGCTTCACCTCATAAACTTTGCGGCAAGTTCGTCACTGTCGATAAACTGCGAGCTCGACCCAGCAAAACACCATTCATTTTCTAAACAAGTCCATTCTCCTCAGGACTGTAAGCATTCGTCCACCGAAACTCTATCCCTCCCCCCCTGAGAAATAATTTCAGTCTGTTGTTAACCAGTTCTTTTGCTTGGTCGGTTCAATGCGGTGGCCTTGTGCTACCGCGCAAATTCTAGGCGAGACTTCACCACGTCAGTAGCATCTCTTTTCTCCTTCATCTAGAATCCCCAGACGTAACGCGTGGCTTCATCTAGCACAAGCTGGAAATGCTGGTATCCATCGTAGGTTTTCACCCCCGCATAGCACATGTCGGACATCAGCTTTTGGTACGGTACCGTTGCACGTCTTGTCCGCGTAGTCTTATTTGACATTTAGTTTTGCTTTGACGCGATACAAGTCCTGCATTTCCCGTCACAACCAGTCGAGCCAACATCAATACTGCTACGCAATTTTTCCAAGCCAAACACAGATTCCTGTGTTGCCATTCGACGCAATGCAGCATAGTTGAGATGCGCCAATCGCATATGCCAGCGTTCATACTCGTTCACAGTCTTGGCGGTAAAGCTCGAGCTACTGCATGTACATCTCGTACATCAATTGCTTTTCCCAGTAGTCGATAACGATCACGTGACTTCTTCAGTATGAACTTCATGTCGTCCTTCATCAAACAACATACACGATTACCATCCAACTGCTCAAAACCAAACATCCACCCATTCTTCTCAAGTAAATTTGAACTCAGCAGATTATCAGGTCCAGTTGGCGTGTGGACAACATCAGTCAACGTCAACACTTCCTCACATTGCGAAGCAAAATTCTTCACTTGAAGGCTTAACATCTACCATGCGTTCACCTTTTGGTTGTCCATCGAAATCCAGGAAATATATGCTCACGATCTGGCCGTGGGTTAGTCAGCAACTTCAAGTTTGTACATACATGTACATCAGTAGCCGTATCTAACACCCACTCCATGATCTGGGGTGTAGCTGACCGATTATCAATCACAGTCGCTCCAATCTTGCGCACGGCTAAGGCATCAACACTCTACTTTGTCTTTTCAATGTTATCGCCACGTTTATTTTGCCAACGTTTGGCTTCCATGCCAGCCGGAGGCTTTTGCCCCTGTGAACTCTCTCCAGACTTCTTATTCAGACAATGCGCACGAACGTGGCCCTGCTCTCCACATTCCCAGCAACCATCACTCTTCTGATCATCGCGGTCTTGGGCTTTCTTCTTTGGTTTTTTTCTCCCTCGAACTCTCTGCTTTTTGCTCCTCCCAGTGTTGCCATTGCCTTGGTTATTCGGGCTAGAGAAATTTCTCTTCGCCGAGCCTATACTAGCTCGAGGTAATTCACCAGCAACCTTGTCATCCAGAACTTGGTCCGCTCTCACGGCATTCATTACCTGAGCGGCAGTCGGCGCAAACTGATACGCACCAGGAGCAGCTAAGACAGCATAGTGTCGAGAAAATTGACGCACTACCTCACGATGCGTGCGTGATATATTATAAAGAAGAATCTCTGCAAACTCATCGTCACTGATCACTTTCCCATACTGTTGCAGCTCACGCTTCTGTAACTCCATCTCATGCAACCAGTCACTCATATTTATTGCATTGGTGTACTTATTGGAGTAAAGCTGCTCACATGCAAAGATGTAATTTTCATATTCCCGTTTTGTTTGCTTGTTTTCAAAATGGGTCCACATATCTCTCGCTGACACCTCGTGACAAACCATTTCTGCGTCAGTCTCAGGCACTCCACGTAATATTGCATCTCTCGCTGCATTATCCCGAGCATCAAATGCTGCTTGCGCAGGAGCATCAAACATCGGTCGCGTATCACTTTCATCAACCACTCCCCACAGACCAAGTCTTGTCAAGAATGTTTGCAATTGAACGGCGTACAAATCGAAGCTACCTTTCATGACCGGTGGTTTGTTCGAGATATCTTTAATCCCGAAAGAAGCAGCACCACGAGATTTTAGCGTAGCTCCAGAAGGAATCCCACTGTATCCAAATTGAATCGGCACATTACTCATACTGTAGGACGTTCCAGATCCAAACATGTAGCTGGAACCGAGGTTTGGATTCAATGGTGTAGCCGTCGATGAAGCCAATAACGGTGGTGCTCCACTGCTTGTACTGCATATTGCCTGCGAAAAGTTAAATCCGCCTTGCATGCCAGTGCGTATCATGCTCATTCCACTAGTAGAGATAATAGTAGCTCCGGTACTATGTGCAGCAGACGTAAACGCCACACTAGCAGCTCCCACCGCAGTAGAAGACGCCACACTAGCCGCAAATCCAGCAATAACTCCACTTGTGACTCCACACAAAGGAATAGAAGCAGACGCACTACTCGTTAGAGCGGCCGATGCCGTCGACGACGCTGGTGTATTTGATCCAGCCATCAAGAACAATGTCGAAGCCTTAGAGGACTAGCTCTCAAAGCTTCACGCGGTTGGGCTCATAACCTGTGACGTTTAGCGCAGGACTGGACCAACAAAGACACCGTTCGCCCACTCAGCGTATTTGGGATTGTGGGAGTTCTGTCTGGAAGAACAGACTCAGTTAATACTAGGCTAAACAATGCAATACTAAACTGCAGTAAACGTAGCAGCCAACGTCTTGGTCAAACAGGGACAAGTAAAGAGAGGATCACGAGACGCCTCAGCTGTCGTTGCTCAATACTTCACACATTCAACAAAGGCAGCGGCTCAGATGACAGGTGGCTGTCGTTGCGATTCGATAACCGCGAAGCGGATCGATTTGCGCCGGTTTGTGGTGGCATTTGTCGGCCCAGCACCGCAATGCCGCTTACACTTTCGTCCACTAAATTCCCACCCACGTCGCAAAACAGGCTGACGAATGCAAAGCGACGATAGATCGACCGCCTCAAGTTGTGGCCCACAAAGCCGACAATCCATAATTGAGCCAGGCCCATCTTGTTATGTGGGTACAAACCGTGTTTCAGCTACATCACACGCAACGATTAGCAACATCCTGTAGCAGGAACACCTACTCGATACAATACCATTGGAAGCTCTGACTACAAGTCCCACCTCACCGTACGGCTCGTTTTCCGGCCTTATATTGGGTCAGCTGGCTGGCAAAAAAACGTTTTACTATTGAATTTACGTGCAATGCGGATGAATCTGAATGTTTTCCACCTCTTTTTGTTGAAAACTTAAGAAGCAAACAGCAGATGTCACTGTATTATCATTTTTCAATTGACCTTGACAGAATGAGCCAAATCGATAGTTAAAATTCTCTGAATAACACTTTTTGTCATTTTGTTACCGTATTCCTTATGTGATTGGCGACGCTCGGTCATTGGCGACAAATCCAGCAGCCAATCAAATTGATTTAAATTTCGTGTCGTCGCGCTTTATGTGCTTAGCGACCAATTTTTGTTTTTAGCATAGTGAAAAAGAGCAGTATATTTCTAAGTTATCCTAGCGTTGGGAGGTCCGTCTAAGTCGTCCCCGCTAATCATAAGCGACCCGTATGTGTCTTGTTCGAGAAAAAAAAACACTGACTCCGTTGGTTAAACACCTAACAATTATTTGTTAGTAACCAAATGCATAAATTCCAGTTTCAAGCCTGTACTTCCAATGTGCATTCGTTTAATGATTTTGGCATGCGCGCGAGTAGCCATTCCTACACCTCCAGTCGTGACACTTGATTTTCGTATTTTAAACTGAAAGCTCGACATTCGGAGAAGAGATACACTTCCCGGCGGTGTATCAAGACGTGACAATCTCACGAGAAGTAGCTTTATAGCAACAGGTGTGGATCTCTCAGAACTATAAAGGTTAAGCCATTCGATTACTTCTATGTGGTCATTTCTTGCAGCTCTATTGATCGCCATGGAAGAACAGCCCTCCCTTCTATTCCTGTGAAGCCACTTAGCCACATCCAAGTGACCTTTTCCAGCTGCTTGGTCGATTGTCATGATGCGTGCACCCCTCGGTGCGATGTTTGTGTAGCCACTTCACCATGTCGAGATGTCTGTCGGCTGCAGCATTATCCATTGCTTCAGTCGTACAACCTACTCTGTTCTCATGGAGCCACTTGAGAATTGCCAAGTGCCTCTCTGATGCAACTCTATTCATGATAGCGTCCAGTTCAAAGGCTTCGTGTCTATTGGTCATTAGCCACTTAACCACTTCTAGATGACCATTTACAGCAGCAATCCTCAGAGCCTAGGGCCGCTTCCTCCCATTCCGTTTACTTTAAGAAAGTGGAGCCATTGAATCATTTTGAGGTCCCTTGACGTGCAGCTACGTCCATCGTGTCATCAAAGCAACGCTCGTGGGTATTTAAGCGGATCCATTGAACAATTATCAAAGGCCCTCGAAGACAGCAATGCCAAGGAGGTTAGGGCTCGTGTTATTCGCAAATTTCATCGTGAAAAGTACATCGAGTTGACCGTTCCTCGCAGCGGAAATAGATTATTTTCAATACAGAAAAGGATGGAATTCATTCCAAAAAAAGATGCTTTTCAATAGTGAAAAGGTGGTTTTAATGTACTTTGTCCCGTTTATTTGCATTACAGCTGTGTGATACAACATATCGATATTTTTTAGACATCCTAGTATGACACGAGGCGGCACATTCACCAGCAGACGCTGAACCGCAGTCATGAGCGACGATGAACAAGATCCAGAGGTCTCACCGCCTGAGGATGATACTGCTAACGTCGCACAGAGTTCATTCCGGTTTATCTCAACACATTTTACTGAAGGTGCAGCTGTTACTGCGCTACACAGTGTTGATACATCTGAATACAACCATCAACGCACGTATGGGCCGACAGAACATCGGAAGAGTGTCTACACTTGCATTTCGCATGAGGCGTGCTCTCGTCGTCTACGGATCCTTGAAATTTTATAGTTCAGCTCTACTGATTCTACAACGACTTCTTCATACGAAGCTGGAGCTAGTGGTACTCATAGCCAGTCGCTAACGCACCGAAAGAGGTCTGGTATTGACATGCAAATAAAACTAAAGGTGGATAGCATTCTTCAAGGTGGCGCAGGTCCAATACGATGCATACTTTTACTACAGAAGAAGTATAAACTTGACTCAACCATGATAGCAAACCAAACAGCTTCCAGTTCAAGGCAGCGACGGAAACATCACGTTGAGAAATGTGCCTCGCCGAGTTGTGGATTGGCCAGATTCTATTGGACCAAAATGTGTCTACAACTGGGCGGTTGAGTTCAACAATGGTGCTAGGCAATTGTTGGAAGTGGATCAATTGCCTGCGCTGATTCACAAGTGTCCTTACGAAGGGCTTAACGTTACATCGCGTCTTTTCTAGTCGAAGGACATCGTGGTGATAACCATAGTAGTTTCTAATACCACCTGTTCTGCATAATACATACAGAAGTATCGATTTATGTACGTTAAAACGGATGCTGACGGGGTGCCTGTGGTGGGTATCTACGTAATCGCTGTATGTACATTAAAACGGATGCTGACGGGGTGCCTGTGGTGGGTATCTACGTAGATGACATATTAGTGACAGCAATGAACAAAGTCAAAGTCAGCAAGTTCTTTGACGACATGCAGGTAGTGGAGCTGAAGGATCTGGGCATGGTGTCTAAGGTTTTGGGGATTACGTTTCGTTACGATGAGGAAAGTGGTTGGGCACTGAGTGAAGAACAAGTGTTCCAGGACTTCTTAGTCAGGTTCGAGCTGGACAAGGCGGCAGTACACTCACCAATATGCAGTGGACAAGACGGCAAGAAAACAGGAGATATTTTGCCAAGTGGAAATGCGGGAAGCCCGAGACGTCCATCAATACAGACATTTCAATCTTTGGTTGGGAACCTGCTGTGGGTTTCGAGATGCACAAGACCCGACATATCGTACGCCATACATCGAGTGACAAGGAGCGCTTATGCACCAACCGAAGCAGACTGGAGATTGGTTAAACGAATTGTCAAGTATATGACAAAACGAAGAAGTTATAGTTCCTGAAGAATGCGGATATAGAAGCTATAGGTGAAGCTTGTGTGTTGGTGGAGACGTTCAGTGACGCGGACTATGCGTCGAACAAGCAGGACAGAAGGTCAGTGACAGGAGGATTTATCATGGTAGCAGGTGCGATAGTGTCGGAAATGTGCAAAACGAAAACTAGTGTCGCTCTATCGACCTTGGAATATGAATCCCAAGCAGCATCGCAGACGACAGCAGAGATGCTCGGCAGTACGGAGTGTCTAAAGGAGATCGGGTTGAAACTACGTGAGCAGATGGTGCTTCACGTGGTTAACCAGGCAGCCATTGCTCAATTGGAGGGTGAAGATACCTCAGGACGTACTAAACATATCGACACAAGGCACAAGTTTGCGAAGGATTTCGTCAAGAAAGCAGTGCTGAAAGACGAATATTGCGAGTCCGTAAGAATGCGTGCTGATATCCTGACCAAACCACTCGCTGCATCAAGACTACAAGAGCTACGAGGGTTCGTGATGTTGTCAGAATAAATAGTACGAGAAGGAGTGTCGGAACTCGCAAGATATCCAGCATGGGATCAAAGAGCTTTTGAAGCGTCGCGGTGTGAGTGGGATGGCGATCAAGTGAGAAGAGGAGAAAGTAGTTACGAAATTCCTACAGAGAAGGAGAATGCATACTACACAATCATTAAATACAATCAGTCTTCAATCTACCACGCAGAGTACAAGCGATCAACAGATCGAGACATCAATAGTTAATCGGGAGGGCATTCAGGCATACGCTGTTGTAAGTCGATCGAAGCATCTATATATTTTATAAATTCAGAAACTGATTTTTACACTCAACTATCTATTAATACGCTAAAACATTCTTTTTCATCTGACTTAATATTTGTTACAAGCACGTCCAGCAAAAAATGCACAGTTCATACGGGTTGTGGTAACGTTCCAAAAATTGACAGAAAACTCGCTCTCAAACAATAGGTGCTGTACAATCATATCGGAAATACACCGTTTTTTACTTGCCAATATCGAGAACCTAAAATTGGTGTTTCATGCTTCAGGTGGGGTTATCAGAAAATTATTGCGCTTGGAACTATGGATGATATGGAGCACACGATATCCTTGTTTTTTGAAAAACTGGTAACCGTTCGATGGTACAGTAATCGTCGTTCGCTGTATGGCTTACGCTCTCTCTCAATCATTACTACGTACTAGTAGTACTACTACCGGTAGTAGTATTCAAGGGAATCCTGTTTCTACAATACCATCTTAGCACTAATGCTACTACACAAATCTTGAATATACTGTGAGGACTGAGCCATAAGTCGGAGTTGACTGCCACATGATCAGTACTTTCGTAGATCTGTAAAAACCAATTCCAGTTGTAAACACCAAAACCAAAGTCCCATTTCATTACGATATCTCTACGAAAACTTACGCAGCCGCACGACAAGTTTCCTCGTCGTCCTCTTTTTCACCGGCCTTCTTGACGCGTGGGATCATTCCCAACTGCATCTTGTTCATCACAATAACGTAGAAGAAGATATTGACGACCATAATTGCCGCCAGCGTGAAGAACATGTACTCGATATTGCCGTTGTTCAGGTCGGCCGGGATGTACTTGCCAAAGAGCAACACGATAATCGAGAGCAATGTGCTGCCCATGGAGTTGACGAAGAAGCCGAGAGCGATAGACGTACTGCGCATACTCTGCAGCACTTCAGAGTAATTGATATCATACGACGGAATGGCAATCATCACTCCAGCTAGCGCCACAAGCAGATACTGGGGGATTGCTGTCCACCACGGGATGTCATTCATCACCTGGCTCCCGTCGTCGTTGATCATGAACTGAGTCAAGCCATTGGAGTCCACGTACGTGAGTGGGGAAGTGCTACGTCGAATGGTCTCGTAGCATCCCGTCCAGATCATCGCCACAAATGCTGTACAGTATCCCGCTAGTACTTTACCGTACCGACTCGCAGGCTTGCCAGCGTATTTCTCGTACAATGGGTACACTACTTTTTCCATTAACGGAACGAAGATTAAAACACCAATGGGGTTAAACATCTGCACGGTAGGGCCAGGCATTTGAGACGAGAAGGGGCCACTACCAAGACGCGTATCGGTTTGCTGGACGATCGACTGGTTGTTACCGCGCTGGTTCTGGCACACCCACCAGAAGACGTTGAACGCATTAAAAGGTAGAATGCGGACTACCTGCTTAACACTACGGGTTCGAATCGACCACCCACCGTGTCTTTGGCGGATTCCATGAATTCCGAACTTTTACCAAAATAGACCCAGAGAATTGTGGCAACTACGATCATGACACCACAAGCGTACGAGATGTTGTGGCCCACTTCGCCGTGATCCGACAGAATCGACGCCAGGATGTTGAGTAGGAACGCAGCAATGTACAGAATTGTACCCAACACGACCATCTGAGCATCGAAGTTCTTCTTGGCGTGATCAAGTACGATTTTGATCACTAGAGCCACCGACTGCTTGGTTGCGGGTATGTTCACGTAACGATTGCGGGTAACCCAGAGCAAAATTACAAAAATGACCAACATGACGAAGCCCACGAGGTACACACTGACGTAACCATAGTCGGCTGGGATGGCACCGAAGCCATGGATTGACACGGACGGGAACACGGCGTAACCAATGAAAGCTCCGATGTTGGCAACCCAGTACTGGATACTGAAGAAGAGAGCCTTCTCTGAGGATGGGGCGGTAGGGGAGAACTGGTCGCCTCCGTACGAGATCACAAGCGAGCGTAGACAGATCTGAGAGACTGCAACACCCAGGAACAGGCCGATATTGAAGATAGCTTTGCTGACTCCAAGATGGTTGTCTAGGACTACCGGTAGGGCGGCGATCACGAGGAACAGGAGACCGAACGAGTCCAATGTAGCGGCTGACAGTAGCGTCTTGAACTTGCCCAGACGTTCGTCAGCGATGTAGCCAGCAACGATACACATGAACTGACTGAAGGAATCGTACGTGAGTTTCATGGAAGTGGAGCCTTTGTTGGACCAGCCCAACTTCTGGAAAAAGTTCTTGAGCGACTGGCCGATAGCGAAGCTAGTGACTTCTTCACATGCTGTGAGGATCAGCAGGAAGATACACACGTGTTTAAGGACATTGGCAGCGTATCGAACAGGGCGTTCGTCCCATAGTTTGGTGTTGATGTAACCCGTTACGGACGGTGTTAACTGCGGCGTGAGTATTGGCGATTGCACTTTGGACATCTTTGAACGTGAAGGCGAAAGCGAAAGTGATTTGAGCTCCTCGCAATTCACTTGACGCTTCTCTGGGAGTTCCTCTCTACATCTCGACGACTAGCAAGTCGACCCCGCTCACACGTGTTGAAGTGTAAGCAGATTTAGGGCATTTCATTGGTTAGTGAGGGTTCACGTAGGACCAATCGAGCTCCTTTTCAGAAAAACGTTATTTTGGGCGATCATTTTCAAAACAGTGTCCTGTACCACACGCTGAGAGACTACGCCGCCATGATTTTTTAAGATACATGTAATTCCGTACGAAGATCGTGTGGTGACTCGAGAATCTGAAAGCTGTACTGTAGAGTCTACAAGGACATTCGCCTCGTTTGCCTTCCACCTATTGGTGGTCCCAACATCGGAACGCGTGTTTCATGTACCGAGCTCGTGATACACATGGTGTTTCATTGTCCAATTTGCAAGACGTGCACTATTTGTGCTAGTCGCTTGCAATAAATTATAGTACATGTAGTAGCTTTTAACAGTAATCCAACAATTCTTCAACCGTGAACCTCCTCACACTTAAAATTAAATCAAACCTAGGTCGCAAGCTTCGGGCGAAATGCGAATCCGACGCAGTCCGCGTCAGCCTAATAGAGCGTTGTGATCTTCCTATGCGTGTGCTCCATCGATCAGCCATGTAAGCCGAATTGCATACGTGCAATTTCTGTGGTCACGGTGACCATCTTCCTAGTCGTCCATGTTGAAGTGGAAAACATACGTGAGACCGTCCTCATCATCGATTCGCTATCTGGTACCCAATCAAATCACGCAATAGCTATTGCGATGGTTCTGCAGTTAACACAACCTTGAAGTGTCTATGGGATCACTGGGCAGCCACATACAACGTAGACCGGTCGCCGATGCGCATTGGCGATTCCAAAGACCCAATCGGAATCAGCTGAGCGGGATATGTCATTAAAACCTCACCGAGACGCTCAACGCATCTTCGATGAGGGTAAAAACAAGAATTTGACGGTCTCATCTTCCTCGTGTGGACGACTAGCTACATATCGTTCGCAGTGCATACTCAACTCTCAAGTACGTGGCGACTGGTCTGACATGGCTGCAGCCACAAAATAACGCAGATACGCCTGAGCACACAAGAGCTCGTACGTCGGAGTCATTTCTCAATTTGAGGATCACCAATCGACCATGGCGCCTCAACACCAGAACGACACGAACAAGACAACCGCCAAGCTGGTAGCTATTAAAAACGCACTTAACCAAGAGGTTGAGCACTACAAGTTCGACCATCCGGAACTACTCAGCGTGTACCCCGAAACCAAGTTCGATCCGATCCCCGTGCTCCCTGTGGAGGACCGTGCACTCAAGGCCGACCCGACGTTCAAGAACCTACTGACGGACGCAACGGTGACGCACCTGGCGCCCAAGATCGGAACCGAACTGTCGGGGATCCAGCTACACGAACTTTCGAATGTGCAACGTGACGAATTGGCGCTGCTGATCGCGCATCGAGGCGTCGTCTTCTTCCGTGACCAGGAGGTCAACATCGAGCAGCAACTGGAGCTCGGACGCTACTACGGTCCTCTCCACGCACACCAGAACTTGGGTCATCCCAAGGATCACCATGAGGTTGTAGTAGTGGAGAACTCGGTAGAGACGAGCGAGGGATTCCTCAAACGCCAAATGTACGACCCTTTCAACGCGTGGCACAGCGACGTGTCCAATGAGCGTCAACCTCCGTCATACACGAGCTTCAAGGTGCTCACGAACCCCCCAGTCGGCGGGGACACGTTGTGGGCTTCAGCCTCCGAAGCGTACGATCGCTTGACTCCTCCAATGCGTGAGTTCATTTCTGGACTCACAGCGATCCACACGGGCATTGTAAGTACATTGTATTACTGGTATATGTAGGCGCAGTTATCTTATGTTTTTTTAATGGTAGCCTCAAGCTACCGCGGCTGCAGCTCGCGGACAGACGATTCGTCGTCCACCGGTAGAGTTCGAACACCCGGTAGTGCGGACCCACCCGGTTACTGGACGTCAAGGCCTCTACGTGAACCCAGCGTTTACGACGCGTATTGTGCAGCTCTCTAAGGCGGAGTCTGGTGAGGAATTTTTTTCATTGTCATATTTTTTCTCAAAAGTTGAGCTGCTGACATACGTAATATTTTGTGTAGATGCCGTGTTGAAACTTCTGTATCAGCATGCTACGGAAGGTCACGAGTTCCATGTGCGTTTCAGCTGGACGAAGAACGCGGTGGCCATCTGGGACAACCGTTCTACTTTCCACTACGCGACGTTTGACTACCTGCCGGGAAATCGCCATGCTATCCGTGTGACGCCTCATGGCGAAGTCCCGTACTTTGATCCGAAAGCTGTGACCCAGTAATCAACGTGAGTATCGGTAGCAGAAGAAGAACTATGTGAAGGTTGACGTTTATTATGAAGCTCAAGCATATAACATGTTTGTTTTATAAGCAAACGATCGCGAACTAGTATCGATGTACTTAATTTTAAAAATTGATTGAAAAACGACAAAAGCGTTGAAATGCACAATAAATTTTCACGAAAATAATTAAAGGTAAACACTGGATACAGAAGAGACATTTGGCTATCAATTTGATCGAAGAAGAGGTGCTTTATGCCAAAACCCTCCTGTACTTTACGCTACAGAAATCTGCCTGAATAAGGAACGCCTGATATAAATTAAGAAAGAGATTGCATAAGCTGACAATTCCCTAGCTAGAAACAGACTATGATATCGGATTGTGTGCATGTATTGAATTAAGTTAGGATAAATGAAGATTCGACTTTTGAATGAGACCAGAGTGTGCTGAATCGTGGAAGCGCTCACTTTAGACCATGCAGCCTCGCACCAGAGCAGTGCAGTTAGCTGGTCGACGTTGTACTGGTTGCCGAGACCTTCGCCTAGGCGATCCAATACGAACATCATTTTTTGCGATAAGATGTAGTGTTTAATGCTATTGATGATTCCCTGATCCAGCGTCTGGATCTTGGCGGTGGTGTTCGGGAGTAGCTTCTCAACACGGACATTACTTAGTGGACGCAGTCGGCTAGTGAGCTTGAATGTAAATGTAGGAATGAAGTTCGGCAAGTAGGGCTTGAAGCGAAGGAGGATCACCTACTGCGCGACATTTTTAAATTGAAATCAAAGTCAGTGCCTGGATTGTTTTGTCAGTACCTTGCCCATCACTATCCCATCTCCCTAAATCTTTCCTGACTATAAAAATTGCGAGGTTATTAATTGAAACCCCGTTCCTTATTCAGGCAGATTTCTGTATCCGGAGTTGAAACGGGTGTTAGGGCTGTAATTTCGAGCTCGTTGACAGGTGTAAAAAAAATACTCTGAAGTACTAACGAGTTGTCTGAAGAATACATAATCGCTGTTTGGTAAAACTCTGAATGGGTTTTTGACCGAAGTGGTATTGTGCATTCTACTTGAAATTTCCATGCGCGGTTTTGTGATTGAGCGCGCAATAGCGCCATTGACCTCCGATAGTGCGAGCGGATTTGTCTTAAGTTTGGGTCCACTTAGGTACGATTGACTACCATTTAAGTACGATTTGGGCCGTTCAAAAATAGCAGGAAATCTGTAAGACTAGAAAAGCAAATTTGGTCGGAATTCACAATTGTCAAAGCAGCTAATATGTAAATCGCTGCGTTTTTGGGTTGAGAATAGTAAAAAAAAAACAAATAATGAATGGTCGCCAGTTATCTATATAAGAGCCCATGATCCGGTAGACAGTGCATAGGAAAATTCATCTTCTCCGTGCACATGTAGTATACGAACTCGAGCACTAACCACCGCATTAACTCCGAATAGTGTAAAGACCTGGACAACCACGGAAGAATCTTCGGCAGGTGTCACCTCAAGTTGTCTCTCGAATTGACGTTCATTAGATGAGCTAGATTTTACCGGTATCACGACGAAGGTGCTCGGTCCTCTTAATGCCAACTTATGTGTTATACTGGAAATGTAGCGCCTCGTCTTGAAGAGGGAGGATAAGATGGCTAGGAAAAGGGCACAATAGTAGAATCGATGCCAGTGAAGTTGCTATATTCGAAGCTCATTGAACGATTTCATCGTTGCCAGTGATTTTTTCAATATTTTTATTAATGCTTCTAAACTACTAAATCTTGAATGGACATTTTGAGGTGGTAAAAACCGGACGGAGGAGCGATATATAGCCAGCTATGATCGCTGGGATGTCGTGATTGCTCAAGAAAGGGAGCGAGGTTGTTCATCCAAGGCAACCAGTGACAGCAGCCAGCAGTCATTTGCCGACTGTGAAAAGACTCCACTGAAATCGATGCGAGATGTGTGTAGTACGTCCACTGGACGAAAACAGTAGACACAGTTATCGAAGCTGGCACTTCCGTAAGTTGTTCCTTGCCGATTGTATTTCTGAGTAGCAAAAGCCATACTGATCAAAATAAGACCGTCGCCCTACGAGCGGCTTACCACGTAGGCAATCTCATGATAGCTTCAAGTGTTGCAACTGCAACTCAGCTGGGCATGAATGCAAGTAGCACTCAATACCTAATGTGCAATAAGGGCAAGGCTGCCAGCCTAAGCCCCACACTACAGTGTGGCAGAGAGTAGCTTCTCAGAAATGTCTACTCTTCTCCACATTTTCAGAGTGTCGAGCTGTGTTAAGGTTTACGTATGGGCTTTGCATATATTTTTTTTGTTGTAGTCCCATCTGAAGCTTGATTTGGGATGGATATGAAACTCCCGACTCAGGCATGGGTAGAAGGCAATAATAATAAGCAATACGTCTACATTGAATTATTATTGGTAAGCTTAGACGAAAACGCTCAAATACGCATACAACATTGCTGTGTTTCTCACGTTTTAAAAATGCAAAAGCGTGCCCAGCATATTGTTTCTTTGATCACACACATTTGTGTCTACTACACTGTAATTTCACGCCAGATGAACCCTTTATAGTATATTCAAATATTAATAAAAATTCGACAACCAGCGCTAATAATTGCGTACAAAATTTGTCTGCTCGTGATTCCGCTTATCACGGTAGACGATTTTTTCTCTTCTTTTTTAGTTACTTATAAAGTGACAAAACGACATGCTTAGTCGTGAACGTCATATTATCGCTATAAGATCTCTCAGTCCCCATAGTAGCTTTCTCTCGCCAGCCATTTTGTTTCAGCCAGTCGTTCATGTACCAGTCCCAGGAATACACTACCAATGTGCAATTTTCTAACGCACTTGGCGCGCGAGAAAGTAACCATTCCACAACTTCCAGTCGTGGAGTCCAAATATTGCCGCCCAAAAGAACTGGAAGACTGTAACGGGGTTACATAGTGTGGAATACACAGGGGTACGAAGTACCCGGAGAGTTAACAAACTCTCAGTACATAAGTTGGAGAGCTAACAAGGTCTCTCAGTACGTTGGCCGAAAGCCACACGTTATGCATTTGATTAGGTTTAACAATGCTAGATAGTTAAACAGATACATTTACCCCTAGGCGGCTTGGCCGCAATAATAGTAAATAAAACACTTCTGGTTTTGAAGCATAAAAGTTAAGGTGTTAACTTTGAGCCCTGGTCTTGGGCTGTAAGTGTCTTTTGGATAAGGAACTTAGTATTGGTGACTCTTTGAGTCGAACGTCTTCCTCTGACGCTTAAGCTACGGCAGCCCCGCTGCACTTGGTAGCACTTGTAGTCAATCCCGCTCCTGAGTCGGTTGACTATATCCTCTGCGAGGATGGAACACCCCGTGTTCGCGAATTTGCCCCCGGCGCAGCAGGACGCGCTTACTAAGCTTATGTCCTTGCTTGGCCCGGAGGGCGTGGCTCATCTTGCATCACAAGGTCCAGAGGCGGTCACTGCCAGGCTGGAATCGTTCTCCCGCTACGAGAGCGCGCTCTTGGGGCATGTCCAAGAGAAGATGAGCGCCGCAACGGCGGCGGCGTCGATGACGCGTGAAGAGTCTATGAGACTGAAACCGCTCATGGTGAGCGTAGAAACCTTCGAGGGGAAGGATGGAGAGAATCTCCTTCTCTGGACCCGTGAGGTCGAGATGGCCATGGGATCGGCCCTGCTCCAGTCTGAGCATCAGCGCGTGGCGCTGGCTATCTCCAGGCTTGGAGGTCGCGCTCGCGAATGGGCACTAACGTGCGGCACGTCTTTTGACGCTGCATTTCTCACTTGGGATAAGCTGAAGCAACAGCTTTCGCGCGTGTTCGCGCCGCCTAATCAGGCGTACCGTATCCGGTCAAAGTTCCTTGCTACCCGCCAGGGTAAGAAGGATTTATTGGACTATGTCCAAGAGTTGAGAACTCTTATCGTTGATATTGGGCCAGCGTTTGAGACTGCGGTGAAAAATCATTAATGGGAAACGGTATTCTGGTTGCTGAAGTACACTGAACGAGATGGTGTCTCGATGATCGATAGTTAAATTCAAAGCTGGCCCAGTGTTGCGATTTAAATTTGCTGAAGGTTGTCTTGGATCAGGAATTAATACGAGAGCCCGTAAGAATTTAGGAATCAGCAGCTTCACAAGGACACATATCAAATGGCTTTACGAAGAAAAGAGGATCCCAACTGCTGGTGGTGGATACGCTAGAGCTGCCAGAAATGGCCAACTGGACGTGTTAAGATACTTGTACGGAAGAAAGCTCGAGAGCAACACAAATACGTACATTCTAGACGCTGCATCAAGAGGGGGTAGCCTTAACACTGCGAAGTGACTCCATGTTAACACTAAAGCTCGATGCTTCAGCGTAGCTATGGATAAAGCTGCAGAGTATGGCCACCTCGAAAAAGTCCAGTGGCTTCACGAAAATCGTAGGGAAGGGTCCAGTAATTTGGATATGAACAAAGCACCGGTAGGTGGCCACCTTGATGTTGTAAAGTGGCTTCACATTAACCGCTGTGAGGGCTGCAAATACACAACATTGAAAACTGTTGTAGAGAGTGGGAACCTCCGTATGGAGCAGTGGCTATAAATACATGTCATAGGCCAGAGAAAATCGATCTCGAGAGAATCATGGATGTGGCAGCTGAAGATGGGGAGCTTGACATTCTCCAATGGGTTCCATTACAATACTGACGCACATTGTACTGCTGCAGCTATGGATAATGCCGCTAAGAGAGGTCACATAAAGATAATACAGTGTGTCTGCACCAACACCGGACTTATGGGTGCACTTACTATGCCATGGACACTGCTGCGAGAATGGGCACTTAGATGTTGTAAAATGGCTGCATAAGAATCGGAGCGATGTTTACTTTCAGCTGCAATCAATAGAGCTGCAGGTAGTGGCCATCTAGAGGTAGTAAAATGGCTTCACGTCAATCGGTCCGAGCGGTGTACCCCTATTGGTAAGGAGAAACTCCTTAGG